GGAATGACTAAATCAAATAAATTAATTTTTAATAACACAATGGCAAAGAATTGATTAAGACCAGTTAAACTACAAATTGTGTAAGAACGTGTAATTTGCAATTGGAACCTTCAAGTTAAATATTTAATTGTGGTAAGAACTTTAACTGTTAAGTAAATTATATACTAGGGTCTAGAGTGAATTTTTGTTTTTTTGCAAGGGTTTTCGATGAGAACTTTTTAAACTGCATTTTTTTTTCCATATTTTAACACATATATAAGGTGTAAGAAAAAGAAATCCATTATTTTACCATTAGAGGGCTTTAATTATCTGTATCCGGGGTTCTATAAGTCTGATCGAGTTACGCTAGATGGCATTAAAAAATGAGATTTCATACTAAAAAAATTTTTGACAGTAATTGATTGACTCAGTTTTGTTTAAGCTCGCGTCAGAGATGGACACTAGTAAAGAGAAAATAGGTCCCATTTTACAGTTCTTCTTTGATAAAGGTGAAAACGCATGCCAGGCGGCTGAAAATGTGAATAGTGTTTATGGTCCTGATACTGTAATAGCTCCAATAATTAAGAACGTCAAATATGCACCAAAATTAGAAAACCAATTAACGAAAATGTCAACAAAATCATGAAAATTGCCGAGTGCGACTGTATATAAGCACTGTTTCGATTGCCCAAGAGCTAAGGTTTGCACAAAAATCCTTAGATGCTGGATACAAAAAGAAGCCTAATGTATGAGTGCCACACAAGTTAGCGCAAAAAAATCTCATGGGCCAAATTACCATCTGCGAACCGCTGCTGCATTGCAACAAAACCGACCCATAATTGTAGCAGTTGGTGACTGGTGATAAAAAGTAGATCCCTTACGACAACCGTCAAGCGAAAACATTTGTGGTCGAATCGCGATAAGTCGGCGAAACGGTGTCCAAGCCAAATTTTGACGATAAGGAAGTTTGTGGTGACATTGGCTGAGAATCATTTACTATGAGCTGCTCTCCTACGATAAAACTTCTAACTCGGAACTATACTGTCAACAATTGTACCGTCTGATGAAAGCAATCGCTCAGAAACAGCCAGCTTTGGGTAATAGGAGATAAATTGTATTCCATCAAGACAGTACCAGGCCACACATTTCAATATTAACTCGCCAAAAGCTTCGCGAGTTTGGTTGGGAAGTTTATATGCATCCATCTCATAGTCCAGACCTGGCATTAAGGTATTACCAACTGTCTTAATAGAGAAATTACCTTCAAAATGGAAAGAAGTTATCAAAAAAAAGGTGCATATTTGACTTAAATCGAATCATTTCAATTACAGTAAATAAGCCTTCAATGTCATGCAAAAATAATGGATTTCTTTTTATCATACCTATTATTTAATAGACTACCCATGTACATACTTACGTATGTATATATTTTTAATAAAAATTTTAAATTGTACCACAATGACCAAAGCTTCTAACCAGAGCCTTTTTATTTCCGTTCACATTCCAGTTCAATTAGAAAAAAATATAACAATTTAGTTCCGATTTTCGTTTCGAAAAAATTCGGTTTGTCACTTATTCGGTTCACGGCTTATTTTGGCTTCAAACCCATCACAATCAAATTAAAGAAACATAACAGATTTTCGAAATATTTAGGTATATACATATATTCATCATATCAGATATATAAATTATTGGTTTTAATTAGGAACGCGGCGTTTACACTGGCTATACTTTGGCAAGATTTTTATATTCGAATACCATAGTTTAGATGTCCACTTAGCATTGTGATAGCTACTTAAATAAATATATAAGAAAGACATCTTTAAAAAAATGATAAGTTTAGATTAAATAAACAACAAACAAAACTACATAAGCGATTTTAACGAACAATTTTCTTGAGGGGTAAGCAATTAAACATAAATTTTAGTAACTGAGGTTAATACAGTAACTTTTAATGTCTACCAACAATTAAATTTTTGCAAAAGCGTAAACGTACTTGGCTAATTAGAAAACCAACAATAAAAATATAAAAAAAAAACGCGAGAAAATGATTAAATAAAATTTATTTAAAATTTGTCATCGTAGTTCAACGCTTTCGGGCTTTCGGGCAACTGTGGTTTAGCCAAGTCTGAACGCATTTGCGAAATCAATCCATATTATTATAACGTTTTTCTAACTGATTTGTTGATCTCAACCTTTTCTGTTTTAAAAACCAAACCATTTAAAATGGTATTACATTTAATGAACCTCTGCGTTAAGTTATGAGAGCTACGGAACAATATTTATTACAGACACTGTACAGTGTGATTTAGATAGACGAAGATATGAAAGCAAGGCTAACATATTGGGGGTATTCAGTCCGTCTTGCAAAGTCTGTCTTGCAAAAGGCATGAAATTTAAGAATGGTATATTAAAATTGCAAGAGTGCGAGAAAACCTCTGTTGCAGATTTGTAACATTAAAATTAAACAGCTGTTTTTGCAGCATATCACATCCCCATGAGATGCGACAGATTTCAAAACCCCTGTTTTTTCTTTTTTTTCGTATATATTTCGGGTGAGAATAAAAGATATTCTTTAAAGATAGCACTTTGAAAAGAATGGATCCCAAAAATTGCAAAATATGATTGTCACTTCAAATAATAATAATTATTTGTTATAGTATAATTTATAGCATGCTAAAATCCAAAAAAAATGTGAACGACAGAACTCAGGTGAAGTGATTAGTTGTGACATAATAATTATAAAGCCAGACACACAGCAAATATATTATTATTGTATTTAGATTTCAAGTAAAATTCTATCATTTTCTGTAAGTACTGTAAGAATTTCTTTAAATCAATAATAAATAAATAATAATAATACACACAAAGCAAAACAGCATAATAATACAAACAATACAACGTCAATCTGATTACTTAGCACAAAAAAAAAAAATTGAAAGGGAAAAAGAACTTGAGAAAAAATTGATCTTTCTCATAGGTAAATGTAGTCCAGTGAATTGTTGTTCATATCTAATTGATATATCAATTAATATAATTAAGAATGTTTCAAGGAAATTAACTTTTTGTGATTTAGTTAGATATGGTAAGATATATTATTAAGGTTAGTAATATTAATGATATATATATAGCGACAATTTTTTATTTTATTTAAGTTTACAATTTATTTCAATTTATAAATTTGAAATAGTATTTATTGGAAATGTTCAATTCGATAATATTAATATTTGGATTCAATCTAGATTAATTGTTGATCTGTCAAATTTTATTGCCTAATCGTATATTTTTAGAGTACTCCAACATTTTTGTAGTAGGGTTAATACATATTTACGTATATCATAAATATATACAATTAGTGAAATCTCCCACTAATTGGATTATAAAGAGCGTTGTTGTTGTAACCCGCTGGGACCAGCTTAATTAATTAATTAAAATTATTTATTTATATGTATGAAAACATTGTTAAGGGATTTGAAATAATTGCATTAAAATATAAAAAAGTTAATTATAAATATTCAATCACATATATATATAAAAATATAGTTAAGTAATTTTAAAATAATTTTTTAAATACACATATATCAAATATTTTAATACAGCAATTAGCAGCGAAAATTTATTGTTAGTTCTAAGTTGATTTTTAGAAGATTCAATAAAAATCAAAATTAATTTAAAAAAAAAAAAAAAAAAAACATATATCAGCCATCCGATGTTGGTTACTATTGTAACGAGTAATCACATTATATGATATACTGCATTTGCGGTTTCTTATATTTTTTTTTAATGAACCCTAAACCCAAACAAAGAAAGAATGGAGAATGAATGAAGAATCACAAAAAACATACGTTTCGCATGAAGAAGGAGGAAAAGAGCAACGGTCAAATAGCGGCAAGTAATAAGGAAATGGACGTAAAAAACGGTGATGAAAAAGTAACCATTCAATAAAGATATCTGAATTCAAGTGGAGTTAAAAATTGTAAAGCTTAATTAATATATTTGTTTTTAATAAAGATAAAAACTAAATTAATTGACAAAAGTAAATTGCAAATACTAAAAAAAAAGTTTTTATTCTTTTGGTCACACGCCTACATTTGTGCGCGTCACTTGTTGGGTAACGGGACTTTGCCGTATTGTGCGCGTCACTTGTTGGATAACGGGACTGAGCGCGATCAAAATTAGAAAAACAATTTTAGAAAAAATAAATTGTTAAAAAATCAAGAAAACTATGGACAGAAATTTAGACAAGAAACTTATAAGATCAGTAAAGGAGACAATGTTGAATTCCGACTACCCTTTTGCGTATCAAAGTATCCGGTTGACGCTTGATATATGGGATGAAATTGCTAAAAATTTACACTCCACTGCACTCCAGTGCAAAAAGCGCTGGAAGGCGTTACGCGATAGATATGCCAGGGAAAAAAGGGGCTTTTATGAAAAAAGAAGTATGCTTCATTAATATTTTTTTTCTTTCAAAATTGTTTTAAATCCAAATTTGATGAAATTTACAGATAAGAAGAAAAAAAATCGTAAAACGTGGGAGTTGATGGATGAATTGTCGTTTCTGGACTTTTACTACCAACCCAGAAATAAAGAAGAAAATGAGGTTGAGAAAGTTGAAGTTCAGAATAATATTCTTGCAGGAGAAATAATAGAAGATGAAAACTTCGAAGTTTCTGAACGTGTCATCCATTTCGCAGTTAGTGATTCGAATGGTAAAGTTATCGGACAATTTGAATGTGATGATAGGATATGTCCATGTGAAGAAATCTCCTCAGCAATGCCTAGTTCTAATAATGACACTGTTGATACATGGGACGAATTATTGCATGTATTGACAGATGCTCAACCAATGCATGCAATGGATACAGCATCGTCCGACACCACATCGTCTTCATTCTCAAGTAATCCCAATAAAGTATTTATGAAAGCAGCTACTGATATTATAACTACATTAAATGCTTCCAATCAAATAAAAGCCCGAGCCTATATACTCTCATACTTGTCGAAATTACAACTAATGGATAACAAATAAATCAACAAAATACAATTTAATTCAGTGGAGAAGTTAAATCTAAATCAGTAATGCTTATTTTATGATCATAGAAATCAAATGCAAGTGTCACAGTAAGAAGACTACTTAATATTATTAATAACATAATATTATGATTAAACAATAAAAATGTTTATATAAATAAGCTCTGTGTTTTTATGAATTTTGAATGGTTATTTTTGTAAACTGTCGGGAGGCTCATCTGTGTAGCACCAAAGGTAGAAGTCACAGCATATCTAAAGTATTTACTTTAAGATTGGGTTGGAGTTTGGAGTGGCGGTTGTATGCACCAAAAACTTTTATCCGAGAATTAGCAGTTTTGGTGCATTGTTGCGAATAAAGATATTAAACTGAAGCTCTAGCAATATATCAAATGCCTAGATACATTGATGAAACTGTACCCAGAAGCTGTGGGTGAGGAACAGCTCAGCGAGTGCTGTAAAAGTACTTCCATACTTCATTGATATATATAAAAAATATACATATTAGTTCTCTTGAAAACACAGTGACTTCACTTGGAAGATTCTGGCAAGTCTTTGAACGCAAATATGCATAACGGTTATCAGGATAATAGTTACCAGGATAATAGTTACTAGGATAATGGTTGCTAGGATAACGGTTAAGGATAACAGTTACCAAGTCTACAACACAATGGTCTTTTAAGATATATTATTAAACATATGACTGTTATATATTTATGTTCATTTATTTAGATAGATTATAAATAATCTATATAATTTATTATAATTTATTTTTATTCTGAATCTAAATTTAATTTGAATATTTTGTTGGTCAAACAATTCTTTCAAAAAGAACGCTTAATTTAGCATTTTGTTCTGTATACTTAGTGGAGACAAAAACCAAACTGTTCTGAAGCGGTAACAGTTTTACTTGTACTGTAAGAGGAAATAGTTACGCAACGACTTTAAAACTGTTAGCAAAATTTTTATAATTCAGTTTTAGTATTGACATTCCATGCATTACTTTCAAATAAAATATTGTTTTAATTTCTATTTTAATACAAAATATAATAACAATAATGTCAAAAAGTGTATAAACCAAAATACATATAAAAATAATAAGTATTCCGTTGTTTAATAGTTTTATTCCAAAAAAATTGGTCAATTGAGAGTTTTCTGTTAAAATTTTTAGCAAAGTTACGAACCATTTCGCATTCCTGTTTTCACAGTTAAACTTGCACAGCAATAGTAAGAAATTTATACAATGTATTCCAAACTGTTGTTAGGCTTGCTACAAAATGCGTTTAAGTATTCATATTCAATACTTAAGAAAAGAATATTGTATCAATTTTATTTATTTATTTAAATTTTATTTTATTATGTTAATAATAACACTACTGTTATAACTGTTAAGTCTTCGCTATTAGCAACTAAAATAATATATAATAAATAAATAAAATAATATATGTTATGTATGACTTAAGGATCAAAGCGACACTTAAGTGTGCATTGTAAAATTTGTTCCAAGACTGCAAACAAATATTTTTATAAAAATACATTTAACTTAAGCAAATATATTTATTACTATATATTGAAAATACATAAATATATATAATAAAAACTTGATTAAAACGTATACACATATAAATTTAGTCAGGAATAAAAAGAAAACTTACATTTTATGTTCAGAAATCTTGTGACAATGCTTCCAAGTCAATATTGGACATGGACACAATAGGAATTTGTGTTTTTATTGGTCCAAATAAAAGCTGATTATTTTTAATATATATACCTATACGATGATAACACATAAAGCAATGTAAAATATTTACCATATAAAAACAAACAGCAAAAATATGTGCGTCAAAAATAAAACACGATTAGTGCCCCACAATGGTTTTAATATACAACTCAATAGATCTGTAACCTGAAGAGATGGACTGTGAGTTCATAACACGATTCTACTAATGAATTTCAACTGACTCAAAGCAGTTTCAGAGTGATTGCTCACTGTCATCAATCTTTTAAAGCTTGCCTTTTACAGACTTTTAGAAGCTTGTCTCGCAAGTAGATTAAAACTTGTTTGGTCCAAGTCTGGACTTGGAAGTAATGTGATGACATACAAATCACTTGGAAACAAACCGATGGACTTTTTAGTACCACAATAAGGTTAGTTTATATATATATATATATATATAATCAGTGAACAGTGTATATATTGGAACCATCGAGTAGACACCAGAGGAAAAGAATGTTCGCTTTTCTGGCGAGTCCCAGGTAATGGTAAAGTATTTCATTTTACCACATGTTGTTATTCTTTGATGTTTCCACTTATTCGAACTATCCCATAAACCGACATAGTCATGCGTAGAGATTAAAATGCCAATACACAAATCTTCTTAAAAGTAAAATAGTAGTTCACGTCTAAAAACTGCTATAGAATATTTATTCCTAAATCTGTACTTATAAAAGTTTTAAGAATTCATAGGTATTACAGTGTTCTATATATGGTATATTATAAAGGGGATATGAATGAAAAAGATGGTTTAAGTTCCCTCAACAATCAGAATATTGGAAATATTGATATATTTTAACATAATTCACATAAAATATAAATTATCAGTCATATGTTAGAGCATCATTATATATACAACGCAAAAATTACTTTAATTGCTATATCAATTATTAATTGCGTTACTCTATGACAATTTCAGATCACACACTTCTTCGATGACTCAAAACAATATATTGATATTACTTGGTTGGGACGCTTTGATGCAATAGCTACATAGTTCCCAAACCACAGAGCCGCTAAAATTCATTTGGACAAATTGGATTAGTGAAATTATTTACGAAAAGTGACAGACTTACCAACACCGCGTTATCAAATGTCAGAATGGTTACAGATTTTTTTGGGGAGTTATGCAGATCTGAGATCAATTATTGCTTAGTCTGATAAAGTGATAAATAGCAATCCAGTCAAGGCGTAGAGAGGGGATTTGAAGAAACCTCGCAGTTAGTAGAGAGTAAAAGTGCTCAAGTCAGTAACTCAATTATCTTCAACATAATATAGCTAGAAGTCATATATGTATATAATTAGCCGATATATCTTTCATTAAAATTTGTCCAAAAATAGACTGAAAAACAGAAAATATTTTTCTATTGGCTATATATATATATGAAAATATATCTCTCTCTTTTACTCCAACTTAGTCCACAGGGTATTAAGGTGACATTTGAATGTATGATTTTCAATTCAAAAGTATTTTTAATTTCTCTTAAAATAATCGATTAAATTTGCCTAATTAATACTAAGTTCTATAATCCTTTGCATAGGATATGATAAAAATCGATTAAAATATATAAATAAAATTATTTATTACCAAAAATGTCATATATGGGAGAAAAAATCTTGTCAAAGCTTAATAATTTTTGTAAATGTCAAAGCATTTTAAAGCTACCAAATGAAAGGACTTCAATGCAGTAAGTTAGTTGAGTCCATGCGGTAATCTATCATAATTTTTATATCCTAAAATCCCATTTTCCTATTACAGCAAATGTCTGCGAGCAAATATAATAAAATTGCCATTAATACAAATAAACACATGTGGACATACAAACTATATGAGTACATATTCTATATACATATATGTACATACATACAAATGTACACACAAATACGAGTTGTAAGGATAATGGCAGATGTGAATGCATGGTATGACATAAGGATAACATAGCACACACCAAGTAGGATGCATGAAATTCCTTGCGTGCCTTGGCTGGTTATTCAAAAGCTAAAATACGATCACAGCGCAAACAATTTTATGATGCGAGGACTGCAGACTATGTCGGAAATAGTATATGGACAGACATTTGGTTGAGTGAACAGATAAACGGACACACCACCACTGCAGTGATGGAGACTAAGGAGTCGTCGGGTGACTGAGATAAAAATTCTACTTGCATACAGACAGACGCATACGTACGGAATGGTCAATCGGCCATCTCCAAAATGTAATGGAGAAGGATAAAAGGCAACGTAAAATGTACGTAACTTATTTTGTTTCGCTTTTATTTTTCTTATATAATTTAAAAAGAATAAGGATAATAATAATGTGGAGAAGGACAAAAAGTAAATAGTAATAACCGGAAATAGGAAGAAAAAAATTAAGTTTAAAAATTTAATATCTCTGTAATGTATGGCCTCTGTGTGTGTGTTTAGTATTCCTTGACATTGCATAAAAATAATTTTTTTTTATTGTTAAAAAATTTTAAATATTTTGAAGTAAATAAATATAATAATAAGAGATGTGTTTTTTAAGAAAAATACAGTCAAACTTCCATAACTCGAAGTCCAAGTTTGCAAAGAGAAGGTTCGACTTATGTAGACTTCAAGTTAGAGAATTTTTTTTATTTTTTTTTTTTTTTAAAAATAAAAAGTCCAAGTTTGCAAAGAGAAGGTTCGACTTATGTAGACTTCGAGTTACAGAATTTTTTTATTTTTTATTTTTTATTTTTGAAAGAAACTAGAATTACATTTTAAGTTATTTATTTATTTGCAATCAAATAAAGCACAGAAGTTATAGTGAAGTAAAATATACAGAAATTAAGGTTTGGGACTTGTGAGGGACTCTTGTTTTCAATAAAAAGAGATTCCACTTTATTCAAACTCTGATAGTGATCATCAGTTGTAGTATCATTCGTTTGCAAATATAAATTCAGTATATTGAATGAGTCTTCTACTTCATTCTTGGAAGGCTGAAGGCTGACAATAACATCTACCGAACCCTCATCATTACTTTGCGTTGCGCTTAGAATTGGTTCCAGCAATTCAGAGCTATAGTGCTCAATAATATCGTCATTTGTAGGAAAGTTATAGAGTTAAGTTATAGAAGTTCAAGTTGTAGAAGCAGATTCGCAAATCATTTGCTCTCTAAAACCTTGGTGCACTGTTTTTGGTTCGAGTTATAGAAAATTCGATTTATAGAAGTTCGAGTTATGGAAGTTTGACTGCATTTAAAACATTTTATTTCAATTTGTTGTTGTTGTTGTTTTTGTTGTGTCAAATATCCTTAAAAAATTCTGCATTAAATGCACAACTATTTGAGTTCTACAGAA